TAGTACCTTGAATGGCTGAGAATATTCAGTTCATGATAAAGACGTGGGAAATGTGATTTAAGTTGGGAAGACGGGGTGATTAGTTCCCCAGACCCACGTCATACACTAGTCTGTATTCAGTCAGGGTCTCTTGGCGTGCGCAACATCACTTGCCGCCCGCGTCGCATGTCCATGGCTCTCACAATACTCAGTCTCGCGGAAGGACCGTAACATACCAACATTCACTCGATCTATATTCTCTGGCTACGGGTGCCAAATTATAGTTCCACCGCATCTCCAAACATCATCTTCAGGTTGCGCAGAAACCAACACAGCCTCTGGCGCAACCATGTCGCAGGCATACGAGCGCGAGCAGTATGCAACTTCGTGTTGATACAAGATGTTATAGAAGCACTACTGACCAGTCTCGTAGACAGAATGACTCCAGACTAGATGAGCTTGCTAGCAAGGTCTCAGCGTTACGTGGCGTAACAATAGACATATATGACAATGCGCGAGACCACCATATCATCGACAGTACTGTACGTCCATTCGATGCCTTCCTGATTCCACGTAGCCCTATATAACAATTGTTTCAAGTCCATGATTGCTGACTTTACGTTCAGAGCGAAACATTCTCCACCTTCGGTACGACCTTGAAAGGCAGCGCATCCCGCCTCACACGAATGGCACAAGCAGGCAACAAGGTCGCCATATTGAAACTTGCGGGCATAATAATAGCGACCGTGGTGGTGTTGTACTGGATATGGCACCTTATTTTCTAATTGGATCGTATGGATCTCAATTCGTCAACACGACGTTTCGAAGTATGCCCTCACCGGCTGGAGAATGCAACCCTCGTGCGTACAAAGATCGAAGAATTGGCATTCAGCAGTGCATGCCAGTGAGGAACCTGCAGGGCAAGTTCAACATTGTATGTCGATGGGCTTCAATCGACTCGACTTCTATAAATAGTAGCATGGATGGCGTTGAGCAAGCAGGAATTCATGGGCGATTTTGCCTTTAATTGAGGTATATGTTTGATACCGCATCTCATTTTCAAATCCATATCACGCTCGCGTTAGAATCACAAGCATATGTCGTACATATAGTGCTTTTCGCGCCCCATTCGCTCCTGGCTGTTAGCTTTTAGATGCATTGAGTCGCGTCTGCGAACCATCAAATCAGATTACGATGGCACTTCAAGGTCAGCTAGATGATCGCACGAACTTGTTCGTATCATCGTCCTTTGTTCCACCTTCCTGATTCTCTCCTAGTACTCCACCAGATTCTGCATGTACATGTTGACACTTGAGCAGGTTCTTAAATATAGATCGTAATCCGCGGAGCTTTCAAAGAGCGCCTACATACATGTGCTATTGATGCATTTTTGTTCGATGTCAACTTCCTCCGATTCGATCATCCAACACTGATGAGGCAGTAGGTGAGATGTTCGCACACAAAATTCTCCAAGAATTGAGCTGTTCCACCAATTCTGTCGTGTGGATTTAAAAATCACCTAATGACACGTCGCACGAATTTAGTACATCACGGGTATTGGCCAAGATTCCAGCCAGCATCCCGACCGCTACACACCTACATTTTATCGTTCTGTTTTACCTACCTGATGTGAGTTAGTACGAGCATTTGTGTTTGAAAAGGTATGTTGAGATCATCTACTGGGACTGTCGTGGAATTTGGTAATGTGTTTGGTTTGGTCCCCGTACAGCATAGTTGTTTGCTGTCCTCTCATCATGCATTAGCACTGAACACCGCATGGCTTCAGAAACCAGGCAGGTTGACTCCAACAGTAGCCCATTATTTATAAAGCAATCTTTCCTGTCCCTTCTCTTCTCTAGCACTCGTCAACGCCTCAGGCGTTCAGAATTTCTTCTTGCATGATTTTATTGAAACAATTCTTCTATGGCAGAAGTTGTGGCAACACTGGGTTTTGTGGTAAATGCGGCCCAGTTAACGCAATGGGGAATTCAGTTTATGATTTCATTCCGAAAATATGTACAGAACACTCAACCAGCTGAAGAAATCGAAGAGAAGCGTCGTCACTTGCATTCAATCCTCGATGAACTCAACGTAAAGGCTGCCAGGCTCTGGTGGCAGGCCTCCTACAAAATTGGATGGGCAGATGCCAGCTCCAAGAACGGCGCTTGTATCTTCAGCTGAGGAGGTAATCAAGATTTCCTCCCAACTCGAAGCCGTCTTAGCCGAGTACGACCCAGCTGTCATAAGATCTTGTTGCAATAAAATGAAGAAGTCTCTGAGGTACCACTTCTCGGGTCGGCAAACAGTGGAAGGGCTCCACAACAGACTCAAGGAGATTATCAGACAGTTGGAGACATCGGTTCTTGTGGACCTCAGGTATGCTTCACCTATGCAGAATAGTACATTCGAAGTGAGCTGACAGAATGTAGAAAACAAATCAAGAAACTGGATCACGAAACTCTTGCAGCACTCGATCAGCACATTCGAAAGATAGCGCGATTCCCCGATGAAGGGATTTTGAACTGGCTGAGCTTGCATTAATCGAAGGCGAGAAGACACGAGCGTTGGTAGTCGAAGAGCACAGAACCACAAGAGATACCATGACTACAGGATTGAAGCGAGCACAAAATGACTTGCCCAATACAGAAACCAATCTGAACGATCACGTCGATAGCGGGTTTGCAGACATGCGGAAAACTGACTCAATCGAGCATGCCCAAGAGAAGCTACTACGCAGTCTGGAGTTTACAGAGCAGTTTACTCGCTACAATGCGATCAAGGAAAAGTTCGAAAACACATTCGAGTGGATATATGATTCTGAGCAGCAACAAGCCAAGTCAGAATCTGGAACTATATCAAGAAGATGCAGCCAAAAGCTGAAGGATTGGCTAGTGTCGGACCAGCCTTTGTTCTGGATCCAGGGAAAGCCTGGGTCAGGAAAAAGCACATTGGTGAAATTCCTGTACGAAGATGGCCGCACGCGCGATATCCTACAGAAGCAAGACCCAAAAGCCATCGTCGTCTCAGCATATCTGTGAAATATTGGAGCGCCAGAGCAACGTCAGCTCCGATCCATGCTGGCTTCGTTATTGCATCAAATACTCAAGCAATTGCCGGAAACCATACCCAAATTATTGAACGAGATGAAAGAGTGTGGTGATAAGAGACTTCCTGAGCATTGGTTAGAGAATTCTCCGCGATCAGCGCTCTGCACTGCTGTCTATTTATCGCACTCTACCATGTACCTTTTTATAGACGGTCTTGATGAAGTTGAAAATTCATACTCAGAGGGATATCACGATATTAAAGACATGCTCGAGCTTCTTTGCCAGAAGCCCAGGGTAAAAACTTGTGTGTCAAGCCGCCCTCATCCTATATTCGAGAGAGCATTCAAAGTGTATCCAAATCTCCAGCTACAAGACCTCACGTACGATGATCTGAAGTATATCATCAAGAGCAAGCTCGAGAACCAATTCACCAATTCCGAGGCACAGCCTCAGGATCTCCAAATATTCCAACCACTTGTTGGTCTCATACTCAACAAAGCAGAAGGTGTCTTTCTCTGGGTCGTTCTCGTAGTATCGAACATATCAAGTGGACTTGACGACTACGATGACGCGGCATCGATCCTTAGTCGCGTAGAAACGCTACCTGAGGGGCTTACTTCCCTTTATCGACACATGCGGGACCGTAGTAATAAGGGAGCCGACGGTCTCCGCAACAAAGGGGCCAGATTTCTCAAGACGCTTCTCTTCCAGCAGCTTGTACATTCCATTGACCTTCGAGACCAGTCATCAACCCTTCACCACTTCGTGGTTATGGATACCTCCATTCAGCAAGAATATCTGGGTGCTGGAACTTATGCGACAGAACAGCGACTGCTCAAGAGGTGCGTGGGATTTCGAAAGCAGTTACTGGCTAGATGTGCGGGCTTGGTTGAAGCCGACAAAATTGAGGATGATAGCATCGACTGTCTACTGCACGCCCGCGTACGGTTCATACAAAAAACCCCGTGAATTTTCTGACCGAGCACATCGAGGGACAAAACGACCTGGCTATTGATTGTAGCACGCCAACTTACTTCTATATCTGTAGAATTCTGGCCATTTCCGTTGAGGTTTTGATGAGTAGACAATTTCCCGTGCTTGCGATTTGGTCAATCATCCCAACATACCTGGAACATATCTGTGGGCGGCGCACACAATTGATGCTGTATGAGGAGCACCTGGCCTATTTAGTTTTTAGCGTCGCGCGGAGGACCCTGAGTCGAATACTGGGGTGGAGCACAGTTCATCTTGATTTCATGGCTATAGCTGCCAGCTTCGGCATCACAAACTATGTCAAAATTAACATCCGAGGAGTACTTGGCCATCTTTCGAGAACCTGGCGCAACTAGTCTCAGCCAGCTTTATAGCCTATAAAGCGAATCTCGAAACGCCTGTACTTCTGACACTTTGGACGTATCTAGATGATAATGTGACACTCATACTTGATCAGCGTCTAAGTGGTGATATGTCCGATACAAATCTGCGTAAGGGCTTTTCCCGCCATACGATCCAAGCAGTGGGTCCTGGAGTACTTGCTTGTCTGGATACACTTGATACATTACCAGATGATCAAACAGAATGTATGTACACCATTCTTGCCGAGTATGCTAACATCGTGAATGATATACGGAACGCATGCTTGACGAGGCTCTACGGCACTGGAAATGACACAGCGGCAACCGCACCTCCTGCTGCATTAAAGCTAGGAACCACGAACTCGAGCATCAAGCCCATATTATTGATACGGGAATAGGTATCCGACGGTCAAATTTTCGGCAAAATGATTCTCCTGGAAGAAGAACAGGATCAACTCCTTGCAATAGCCTTTTCCCGTCCCCAGAACCCAGATGATATGCTATGCCACGTATACGAGTCGATTAATGGTCCTGAATTGAATTCAGATAAGATTGCCGATGCCTTGATAAGAAAAAATCTTATCTCGTCGAAGAGATTCTGGTTACAATCCCATACCAAATGGCTCATTTATGAATACATCCGTGATGTATCACCAGCCGATCCGTGTGGGGAAGGACTGCTAGATGGCAGTTGGGACCCAACATATAAACAACTCATCAACGCCTTAGCCCTGATTCCACATGGTGAAGAAGCAAAAAAGCTTTCTTAATGTACTGCCGGGGACAGGGCAAATGGTGGGACGATTTGAGAGCAGTCCACCATGGCAAACTCATGTTACCACAACTCTAGTCAGACTACAAGACTGCTATCTTACCAACCACCAAACAATTATTCGAGGCTTGCAATTTCCGTCTACAATATCTAGGTGGACAACAAATGCGTACCTGGCTACTTTATTCACCCGCGCTGGGGGCAGGACATGCGCGTAATTCCCGAGCGCAAAGGAAGCTCTCACCATATACACAAAAAGCCAAGGGGACAAGCATTCCAGATGAACCATTCGACGGATGAAGGCCAGAAAGGGAGGGTCGCCCAGAAGAGCTGGAACACGATGGTGGAAAGTAAATTGGCGGTTGGAAGAGCAGTGCAGTAAAAGAACATCACTGCGATATATCAAAACCAGTACCGGAAGTCAGGACAGATTGAATCTCTCAAGAGCTGGATTTCATTCTATGGTTGGACAGCAGTGTAGTGGAAAAGCACAAATATTCCTTATTTTTCGTGGACGATTTTCCTAATTGTAACCGTACTTTGAACCGTCTCTTTTAACAAACTCATGGCTGCAGACGAGGTTCAAAATCTCAAGTTGTCGCGACACATATACAAATATGTGTGTTATTTTACTTTGTTTCAATGCTCGATCCTGCGCCCGTATATAAATATACCAGTGCCTTTTCTCCTGTGGTACCGTGCACTTCTCTGATAATCCACAAGGCCATTCCGGCTCTGAGAAGACGTTTGAAAATGCATGTACACTCCAAAGCATGGATAATAGATTGATCAAATAGTACAAGAAAAAGAGCGTGCATTTCTGAGCACTACCGCACTGCGAATTCCTTCCCCAAGACAGGAAATTAGCTTAAGTTCTTGTCAAAGTCGCTACCCGTGACCCCTTTTAGAACGAATTGAAGTCGGAAGCAAAGGAATCTGCCATATCACCGTCTTACAAACAAATGATCTATTCTATATTTTTTCTTTTTGCGCCCTTTGCAGAAACAAACGCCATCTTGGTCATAGTATTATCCAACTACCTACTAACATCATAATCTAACAGCTCCTCCTTGCCTACCTTATGCCCTCTATGCGTCTTCTACTATAATACCCCTCCCTACCTCCTCTAAGTTTTGTACTAGAAGCGGTTTTAGAAGACCTAGAAAGGGGGAAGGCGCAGAGTAAAAAAAAAAGAGAAAAGGTATAGGAAAGAATTCCTATACAGGTAATACAAATTAAGCTAGGTATATATGATATACTTTAACTACGTAGATGTTATACAAAATGTTTTCTAGGTATTTACACGTTTATTCACAAGTTCAAGTCCCTTATAAATCCCCTCTAATATCTATAGCCCTCTTTACCCTTTAACTACAAAACCCTCTTAACTCGCATCCCCTCATCTTTTCTTCTTACCTCCCTCCTTCTCTCTACCCCTCCAATAAAACTTTTAAATAAGAAACCTCCTACACCCCTTAGATATATATAAAAAACACACATTTTAGTAGATCAAAATTAGATATTACTATCCTGCTCCTATACTCTACCCTGCTATACTGGTAGCCTACTCTATTTAGTTAAGAAAGAAAAGATGAGCAAGATGAGCAAGATAAGCGAAAGCACAGTAGTAGTGTTAGTAGTGTACTCTCTACTCTCTACCTCCCTCCCTACCTCCCTCCCTATTCCTACCCCCTATAAACAAGCTTAAGATGACCACCTACCCACCCCTCTTCCCACCTCTACCAAAACAATCCCACCCAAAAAATAACCCAACCCCCAAACTCCAGTCCACCCTAACACAAACACTACACATCACCCTACTCACCCTACCCTACCCACTCTATCCATCCCACCTCCCACCAAACCCCCACAACAATTCCACACAAACAACACCAGCCACCAGCCATGTTCCACGAGCACCATTATTCAAAGTCTCCAGTCAACATGGCCTTTTCTTTTCTTTTCTTTTCTTTTCCTTTTTTTTTTAAAAAAAAGGAGTGAGACTTGGGTACATTGGCATGCATATTTGTCATAGGTCATGTCCAAACTTTCATTTGCTTTTGCATTTCCACCTCCAATTTCCCCTCCAATTTCCCCTCCGATTCGCACCTCCGCCGTCCTCTAAAAACCTGTTTTCCCGCTCCCTTCTAGCGCTTGTGCTTCCGTCTCAGACGAAAAACTCCTTTCCTATTCTCATACCCAACCAACACCCCTCCCCATGCTCTTCCTAGCCAAATCCTTCGATCCTCAAAAATAATCTCCCAAGACGCAACAAAAACACACCAAAGTCCGTCCGATTTCCCCCCAATCAATCCCCCTACTCCCAAACATTCGAAAACAAATCCTCGCTTCCTCCCGCCGCCCCTCCAAACCCACCCGCCGGCTTCGCCGCACCTCCCGTCTGCGTCGTCGGCGGCGCAGCGCTACTCCAGCCGCCAAAGTCGTCGTCCTGCGTGACCTGAGCCGGGGCGGGAGCGCCCCAGCCCACACTTGGCGGGGGCGCTGTGCTCGTGGCAGCGGGCTGACTCGGGGCACTAGAGGCCCAGACGTCGTTGCTGCCCCAGGCGTCCATGTTGGAGAAGCCGCCGCTGTAGTTGACGGCGGGTGCTGGTTTGGGCGCGGTGGGTGCGGCGGGCGATGTGAGGTTGAAGGCCGAGTTCATGGAGGGTGAGGCCATGGGTGGGCTTGTCATGCGTGGAGCCGGCGCGGGAGCCGAGGGCATGGAGAGGTCGAGGAGGTCGTTCATGCCGCTTGTGGCTGGAGCTGCTGACTTCGATGGCGCAGCAGAGGATGCGAAGGCATCGAAGCCGCTAAGGCCGCCTGCAGGACTCATGGTGCGGAGTTGGGATTGCTGCGCGGGAGGCGATTGCGGCTTCGAGGCGAAAAAGTTGCCTCCGCCACCGAACATGTTGGATGAGGAGGTCGTGGGCGGTGACTTTGCGCTAAAGTTGTCAAGGCCGGAGAAGGGGGAGGGTTTGGGTGCTGGTGCGGCCGAGAAGGAGAGACTGCTAAAGGCGTCGTTGATGCCACCGAGGGAAGACTGTTGTGGGGATGCTTGAGCTTGGGGAGAAGCGAGTCCACCAAAGGAGTCTTGTCGTGCATGCTGTTGTGGTTGGGGCGCTGCTGCGGGTTTGGATGCGTATAGGGATAGAATGGACTGCTTGAGATCAGGTCTTGAAGGGGCGGCGTTGGCAGCGGGACCTGTGCTAGAGGGTCGAGCAGGCTGTGCAGAAGGTCCTCCCCCTAAGAAGTCCAGTCCTAGTAGTGAATCACCGGCCTTGTGCTGTTTCGGTGGAGCTGCCTCTTGTCTCGGTGGAGCTGTGGTTCCTGCTGGCGGTCCCGTGCTGGGTCGTGCAGGGGCAGGTTCATCGCCAAAGAGATCGATTGCTGGCTGAGGCTTGGGTTCGGGCGGAGTAGGGCGACTCGAGCTCCCACTCAGACGTTGCGAGGCTGAGCGTTCGACTTGGACTTTTTCCTGGACTTTGCTCAAGGGCTGCTTATCTCGTCAGTCCAAGAAGACCACTAGTAAAGATGCTCAAACTCACCATGTCGTCATCATCAGCCTCGAGAGTCGACGGGTCTGGCACAGGTCCTTCCATGGTCCACCGCTTCGACTCATATTTTGTGCGAATGAAGTTTTCAATCTTGGCCTCGGAGGGAACATGGCCAGGTGCCAGCTTCGACTCCCAGTACTTGTTCGCCCTCGCATTGCCCCATTTCAGCACACTTTGGAGTTGCTCGTCGGTCCACGTGTCCAGATCGACGGATTTGACTTTGCTAATGTGCGTGCCCATGCCACGGTGAATGCCTGAGCAGCGGATGCATATGAAGACACCGAGGTTCCAGCTGGCCCAGCGAGGGTCTGTCATAGTGATGATGGTTAGCCAAGCAATTCCTTTTATACGTATGTAGCAGTTTAAAAGTACGCACGCTTGTTCCTCTTGCAGTCAGCGCATGTCTTGTTGCCCTCGAGCTTGACCAAGTTCTTCAGTGTTGCGCGATTCTGTTCCGCGCGATCAGCGGCAGGGTTGGGCCGCCGTGACATTGTGGGGTATTGCCGTCGTGTTATCGCGGTTGCGTGCTGTGCAGTCGCCTGGGCAAGAATGGGGGTGTAGTGTGCGACTCGAGGAGTTATATACAAAGGTAACGACACAGGACTGGCGAAAGGGTGGGAAGGGTCATGTGTAGAGACAGCCTTGTTCAGCCGGCCTGAAGCGTTGATTGTTTCCTCACCATTGACGAACGCCAAGCACTGCTAGTTACAGTGACCCATCGTTGGCTTGCGAATCACATGCCGGCAGGAAGCGTATACTCTGCCGGGTTTGGTTCAAGAAGAATATATCACTATTCATGGAGGACATTTTGCTGTTGAATGTTTGTCGAGTATGAATCCATTTCCTCTCTCTCTCTCTCTCTCTCTCTCTCTCTCTCTCTCTCTCTCACTCACTCACTCTCTCTCAATGCAGCTGGTCGACCAAAGGCACCCTCTTACCAAGTGCCTGGCCTGGGTATCAAGGTACAACGACTATGACTCTATAGAATACAAGGCTTACTCGCAACAAAAATCAACACCAGCCATCTTTATGCAGGTCGGAATCTCCAATCGTCCCAGTCCTCGTCATCCGACTCGCTCTCTCCCTCTTCCTCTTGTGGCGAGGGATGCGTCACAACGTCCTTTTGTGGCACAGTTTGTACCGACTTGGTTCGCAGCGCCTCTCTCTGTTCGCGTAGTCTTTTGACGCGTTCCTCCAAGCCATCCATTTCCTCAAACTCGTCCTCTAGTGCACGAGCAGCATCCTCCTTTTCGCCCTCCATCTCCTCGTCGTTCTTGGCCCGTTGTGCGCTCTGGTCTTGTCGTGCCTGTGCAGCGATCTCGGCGGCGGACATGGGCGCAGATTCGACGACTGCATTGGCATAGAATGTGGGTGGAGGCTGGGCGGCCTTCTCTTGGTCGATCTCGTTCATGAAGGCGTCGAGCTCTGCTTCCGCTGCTGCGTCGAGGGGTGGATTCGCGGCCTTTGGGGTATCTGGGGGTTGTACAGCCGTTGCTGGCGCATCTTCTGGTGGTGCATCCGTCGGCGCATCGACAGGCGCATCATCGTCTTGGTCGGCCTCCGCATCGAAGAAGCCAGCTGGCACGCCGGCCTCCTCTTCGGTCCGTGTTCGTTTGCTGTCTTTTGCGCTTTGCTCTGCGGCCTTGCGCTTCTTGGAAGCCGGCGCTGTTGCAGGGCTTGCCGACTGTTGCAGCGCTTTTTGGGCCTCCTGTCGAGCGGCGCGTTGCTGACGCAGCAAGGATCGCGCGTCCGCCATGTTTTGGGACTTGTGGTGTAGATGGAAGGAAGGTTCTAGACGATTTCCTTTTCTCCTTCTTTCTTTTTCTTTATTGCGGACGGTTTATGATGACGGTGATGATGATGATGATGATGATGATGATGATGATGAATTATGTAGGTATGCTAGGTACTTCTTCCGTGTTTGATGTGTGGTGCTGGTGCTGGTGTTGTTGGTGTTCTGTATGTTATAGAGTATGTGTGTGTGTGTGTGTGCGTGGTAGTGTATCCTTGGGCCTGGACTTTGGAGAGAGCAAGGGCAAGACAGGGCAAGACATGGACAGACATGGACAGACATGGACAGACATGGACAGACATGGACAGGCATTCGCATTGGCCAGGGTTCAACTTCACTCCTCACTGACAATTCACTGGCCAGGATTACGAATTACGGCAGCCAAGCCTTTTTCGGTCGGCAAAACGCTGCGTCCAAGCTTCTCCACCTCCTCACCACCTGCTCCATTCCCGTTGCCCGCACCTACACACACACACACACACACACACACACACACGCACATATCACACACACACATCACACACACACACACATCACACACACACACACATCACACACACACACACATCACACACATCACACACATTTGCGCTCTCACCCACGCCTCCTTGCCTGCTCTTTGAGAGTGCGCCTCGCCACACATTCTCTGTGCGCATTCGCAAAGCTATCCATCCCATTCTGTTTGACTTCCCCCTCCTCCATTGTCCCTCATCTCCGACGCGCTTCTTCTTGAATTGCGCGACGGCCTCTTCCTTCGCGCCTGCGAGGTAATACCGCGCACCAAGAAAGAAGCCGCCATCTGCAGAACGGCAGTTTGGACGACCAATCGCCCCCCTTTCTCTCTCTCTCTCTCTCTCTCTCTCCGAAGCACAGGCAGGAACAGCCTATTTGTGTTTGTTTTCATAGTTAGAAGACGGCTGTGTGCGTCAGCTTGTGCCCTACTGTCGGCTGTACGCAACCAGGACGAATTGGAGGGGGCTTCTTCTGTAGAGACTTATTGCATCGTGCTGCGTCCCATAGCTTAAGCTGCCTTGCGTAGTTGCCTTCGTGTGTTGAAAATCCATTGTTGCCTGTCCAACAACACCATGGCCGGTAAGCATCCACCCGCAACCAAGAGGGGCGCCCGTGTCCAGCGACGGCGCGCCCCCTCACCACCTCACTCCAGCTCTGCGCATGCGCGACCAACCAAGAACACAAAAATCTCCCTTGGAGCTGGTGGGACCGACGCTGACACCGCCGCCGCAGAAGAAACACGACGATCCGGTCGCGCCAACAAGGGCCACCACACCAAGAGAGATGTCCTGGACGAGCCATCACCTGCTGTTGCTGCTCCCAAGCCTCCCGCCAAAGCAGCAGCGCCCGCCAGGTCGGATAGGAAGGCGGACGGGCCAGTCAAAGGCGGCAAGAAGGGCCAGGCCGTACGCGCGCAATCCACACAGTCGACCGAGCACGAGCAAGAGGACGAGGAACAGGGCGATGACCTGATCCGCTGTGTCTGTGGCGACCAGCGCGACATTCGTGGTCGCCAGATGATCTGCTGCGACACATGCGAGGCCTGGCAGCACAACAAATGCCTGGGCCTTCCCGAGGGCGACTTCTGGAACAACAAAAACTACTACTGTGAGCGATGCAAGCCAGAGGATCACGTCGAGCTGCTCGCCGCCATGGCCCGCGGGGAGAAGCCCTGGGCTCGCAAGAAGGGCTCCAAGGCAAAGGCCCGCCCCAGCGATGTCAAGCAGGAGACCATGTCGGAAACGGCCAGTACACCACAGCAGGCAACGACGCCTTCGCAAGCAGCACCAGCGCCCGCCGAAGCACAGAGTCCCACTCCCACGCCTGCGCCGGTACACTCTGAAGAGGCTACGAATGGGCAGACAGACGCAAAGGTACGTTGTCCCTTCTTTGCTGGCCATATACTCCAGACTGACAGTCAACTCCAGTCCGAGAGCAAGAGCCAGCCTCAATCCCCTGCCGGCGAGAAGCGTCGCCACGAGCCTACGGCTGAAAAGGCCAATGCAAGCAAGAAGCGTAGAAAGTCCAGCCACCATGAAAGCAAGGCTGCTACACAAAACGCCCCGGCTGCGGACATTGACGCCTTGCCCCAGAATCAAAAGGCTATTGCGGAGAAACTCCGTGAGATTCTTGTGCCACTAATCAGTGAAGCGTCGAATGCACGAGGCTATCGCATCCCCGACGGCCAGACAGCGAGGTCTCTGGCAACCCAGTACACTCTCCAAATTAGCCACGCTGCGTTTGCAGCTTATGGAGAACCCTCTGGCGTGGAGTCGCCCTACCTGGCCAAGATCCGCATGATCATGTTCAATGTCAAGAAGAACACCGTCCTTGTCGATCGCATGCTCTCTGGGAGTTTGAAGGCACAGGAGTTCGTCAAGATGGAGGCAGAAGAAATGGCCAGCGAAGACAAACAGCGCGAGTATGCCGCCATGAGAGAAGCGGTCGAGAAGCAGGCCATCCTGACAGAAGAGACGGGACCGCGCCTGCGCAAGACACACAAAGGTGAGGAGATTGTGGGAGAGACTGATAACGAGAGCCATGAATTCAAACAGCCAGAACTACGCGAGAGAGAAAGTGTCCCCGAGGATACGGCACAGTCGCCTGTTGGAAATCGTCCACCGCAGAGTCCCGCTAGCGCAACACGCAACCCAACGGTAGCAGAAACGCCTGGTGAGCAAGCAGACGCGGCACGTCGCCCTTCAACCAACTTTGACATCAACTCCGTCTTCAACAAAGTACGGTCACCACAGCACGACCAACAATCGTTTCTACGTCGCACGAGCTCAATGCAAGTCCAGGACAAGCCACCGGCTGCTGTCGATGATGCAGATGTCGACCGGCTGCTCAAGGACGAAGACAACGACGTCGAGATGTCAGGGTACTCTTCGGACCCCACGGTCTGTTGGCAAGGCACCATTCACATGCAGTCGATGGAACCTTTTGATGCCGTAGCTCGATTTGTTGCGGGTGGCGATTTTGGCCAAGTCGTGCCATGGGAGAAGCTCCTCACAAACTCACTCTCTGTTCAGGGTCGCATAGAAAGCGCAAAGGGAAACGACTATATCCGAGGCATTGCAAACACCGAAAGCCACGAGGTCGCTATCCTGGCCATCAGCCCGGTAACCTCCGAAGGACGTGCCATTCTGGATCATCTCTTCACCTATTTCCATTCGCGAGGCCGCTGGGGCGTCGTTCCCGTCGACACATCGAGCGACGGCATCTTGCGGGATCTCTACGTGATCCCAATCGAAGCTGGTGGCGGCAACCTACCTCCCTTCATCGACATGCTCGAGCACTGTACCATCGAGACACCTCGCAAAGAGCCCATGATGATTCTCGTCCTCATCGCCAAGCTCCCAGAGATGAAGCCTCAGATGCCGCCACACCAACACCCTGCAGCACCCTATCCCCAGCAAGACCAAACACCAGCCCACGCACCTCATCCACCAAACACAAACGGTCCCTCTGTATCCCCAGCACCCAATCCCCACGCCCCCCAATTCTCCCCCGTAGGCCCAGGCTTCCCACAAGGCTCCTACACAAACTCCTACGTCGCACCCACACCACCCACCGGCCCCCCTCCCTATGCCATGCAACCACATCCACAGCAACACCAACCACACCAACCACACCAGTACCAACAACAACAACCACCCCCACCCCACCACCAAATCCCCCGCGCCCTCGACATTCTCGGCCCTTACATCGACGCCCCCGTCATCGTCACCATCCTCGGCTCCAACCTCTCCCAAAACCAAGCCGTGTCGGAGCTGCAGATGACTAATCTCCGCCATATCGTCGAGCATATCCCCGAGGCGAGGACGAATCTTAGCGTGTTGACGGATCATCTGCGCATGAAGAGTGAGGCTAGTGGTGTGTCTGGTGCGGTCGGTGGTGGGAATGGAGGGGGGGGTGTACAGCAGCAGCAATAGCAATAGCAGCAGCATGGAGGTGGGATTGGAATGGCAGGTGGGATTGGAAAAACCGGGGTTTTGGCGTGGTGCGTGGTGCGTGGTGTGTGTGCATGTAGTTCATGCTTTTGCACCCTTTGTACATTTTATCTCACCAGTTTTAGTCTCGGTGGGAAGCACTATGGTTGTGTTTTTTTCTTCTCTCTTGCGGTCGAAAATCAATCGGATTATGTATATGGTTATGTTGTTTGCAAAGGGCAAATCTTTCTTTCTTTCTTTCTTTCTTTCTTTCTTTCTTTCTTTCTTTGGAGGGTTTTTAAGGTTTGACTCATGACGATTTGGCTTTTTCTTTTTCTTTTTCTTTGTTCTTTTCTTGGTTTTTGGAGGGGTGTTGGTCGGGGGCGTGGGTTTGGTATGCTGGAGGCGAGGCAGGGAGGGACTTTTCTCCTTTTCCTACTCAACGCCCCCTTTTTTTTTTTCCTCGTCTGCTTTTTCTTCTTATTTTTCTTTCATCATTTCGTACTCGTTCCCCTTTTTCCCTCTTCTTCTTCTTCTTCTTCTTCTTCTTCTTTCTTCTTCTTTCTTCTTCTTTCTTCCTCCTCCTCCTCCTCTTCTTCCCCTTCTTCTTCTTTTCTTCACTCTTCGCGAGATTTCCTGCTCGTTACGCACATACACGTCTTTGCACGCAATCAAGGCCGGCGGTGAGAGGGTTTTTCTCCTCTTCTCTCTATGTCTGGGAGGTTAGGGATTGGGTTAAGATTGGTCATGGGAGGGGCGATTGAGGAATTGGAAGTCCTTTGTTTTTCGTTCTTCTTCTATTTTAGTAGGCATGGTTGGCTGCTTGGCTTGGTTTAGGCGGGACTTAGCTATGAACGTGATGTGTATTTGGGTTTATACTGTTATACCGAGTGGTGCGGGATATGCGTGAAGAAGCTCATACTTTGACAAGTGTGTTTGGCGGAGTGGGGTTCTAAACACAGTGTCCAAGTAAGGGTCTATCCGGACTAGAGTGTGTAGGATGTGAGAAATTTTCTTGGTTTGATTGTGTACAGCAAAGTTATCAACAACAATTTCCAGTGTACCAAACTTCCTCCAAACAACACCAACAAGCAACCAACCAACTCAGTCCAGCAAAAGACATCGAACCCCCCCTCCTCCTCTCCCTCAATCCTCCCAATAATGACTATCCAATACCTCCGCCCCTCCACACATCTCATATCCGAGTGGAAGCATCTTGCTAAACCGCCCATGTCTGCTAAAGCAATACAAACACAGCAAATTATTCTGCCACGCCTCCGCCTCGCCCTTGAACACTGAAAATATCTCCGTATCGACGAGATGCAGCGACCGGGCCCAGCTGGGCGTCGTCTCGGGACTGGGGCTGCGACTGCGACTGCGACTGCGACTGCGGCGTGGCACCGAGCATGTGCGCGGGCGGCGGCGGACGGGTGTGCTAGGTGTGGCGTCTGGGCGGAAGGAGGAGAGTTGGGGGAGTAAAGCTAGGGGGTCGGAATTGGGGGAGAGGGGGATGGAGGCTGTGCGTTCGGTGAATTCTTCGGTGTGAAGGAGGTTGTGGTTGTTGATGTCTGGTGGTCTGGAAGTTCGAGAGCTTGTGGGATGGCTGCGCGCCTCGGGATATGTATTGGTGCGCATCTTTTTGGTCAGCATGCGTGGTTGGTCGGCCATTTCGAAGGTTCTTTTGTCGGCTGTATGGCAGTCAGCTGGCATGTTGTCAAGGCAGGAAGAATACGTGACGTACGACTCATGCTTCTTCCTGACATTGGACTTGGAAGAATGCTAGCCGACCAAGTCGAGGCTAGAGTGGACTCATCAGTTGCTGCTGATGTGGGAGGCTCAGTATCCGGCGGTGTCAGAGAGATGTCAGAGTCGATGTCACAGAACATCAGGGGTGAGGAAGGTGCGTTTGGCCTGTCAATGCTGCCATCTGGTGGTAACAAAAACCGTGTCGAAGGCAATCGCAAGCCACTGATATTAGGTTGCTGAGGTGGGGATGCAGCTTTGTTACATGATCCACGCAGTATGCCTCTAAGTGTCGCCTGCTTGCCCAAACTCTTCTCATCAGCGTTCATACCTGTAATGTCCGTCGAGCTGCTTCTAGACGACGTAGAACTGGTGAGGCTCAGCGAAGTAGTGACGCGTGAGGGTGACTCAAGAGCTGGCGTGCCATCAGTGCCCTGAAGAGAGGCCCTCTGAAGCCGCGCCTCATCTGCAACACGAAGCTTATCACGAGCATCCTGAGCCATGCTTGCCCCACCGACCCATACCGTTCTGGGACCATATGATTTTGGATGAGACACCGCTGTTGTGCGCTGTGACGTATTACTGCTCTTCGATGCATGGCTGTCCTCGCCGTTGATCTCCTTCAGGAGCTTTTTGAGAAAGGAACTCGAGGGGCCTGGGTTGCAAAGGCTGAGGTCACTCGGACGTGGTGAGGGAGTAGTAGTCATAGTAGTATAGGATGCTCATACGGATCGATGTAAGTGATGCAGGGTAATCGATGCGGGCGAGCAATACGAAAGCCTCAGATGTTGCGGATGGAGGTGAGGCGACCGTGAGGAATGGGTATCATTGAGACAAGAAGAAACTGAACATGCAGTAGCAAGGGTCCACGCAAGATAGGAAGGTAGCAAGGGCTGTGCAAATGCGATCCATCCTGCAAGGAAGGGACAAGGCTCGCAAAGAAAAGTCTGATCGGTTTCCCGTGGCAGTGAGCAAAGACGGAATATCAAAAATGTCAGTCATGATGGGGTGGTATTCAGCTACGGTGTGCCACATAGCTTTCACCGAGTATGGTATACTACAAGCCACGTTCTATCATATCGAGGCTTTTTCATTACGCCAGAACGTATCATTCGGTATCGTGATCATCATGTCTCCGACATCTCGGTGTCCTCGGCCTTGGCCAGACCGTGCTCCTTGAGCAGAGCATCGATCTCGTCTGCGCTCCAAAGGTGGTGGTAGATCTTACCTGTCTTTGTCTTTCCGACTGTAGCAAACTCGACTGTGACAAGTTAGCAGGCGTTGCGAATGGTTGCAATCTGGACGTACTCTTCTCGCTGCTGAGCTTAGTAGAGTCCATGGTCTTGCTCAGCACCTTCACGGCGAGTCCGCATGCCTCCTTCAAGTCACACTCTTCCTTGTAGTCCTGCTTCAACAAGCTCTGAGCAGACGCATTGTTCGCCCCAACACTCGTCGCCTTCCAGCCACCGTAGTTGCCACTGGGATTGCTTTGGTATAGCTGGAACTGTCGCTGTGGGTCCCAGCCTGCATAGATAAAAGACACACCAAACGGCCGGAGACCACCGTGTTGCGTGTAACCTTGTTTGAGATCGCATAGCCGGCGGACTAGCTGCTCGCAGGGAATGTCTTCATTGTATGTGAGGAGGTAACGCTGGGCGGCTTGACGGGCGTAGTTGATGAGAATGTTGGCATCGGCAGTCATGCCGGCTACAGCGCAGATCATGTTGCTATTTTAGCATTAGCAAACTGTGCCGATGCTTGCAAGACATCGTGACGCACTCATTGAGGATGTACAACTTCTCCGCCGATGTGTCTTGCTCCAATAGCTTGCTGGTGACCTTCCTCTCTGCAGCCAGAACGATGCCGTCCTTTGCTAATATTCCGAGAGCTGTTCCGGCGTGCGAGATAGCCTCAAGCGCATATTCGACCTGGTAAAGGCGGCCTTCGGGGGAGAAGATGGTCGTCTACATCCGACAATTAACACCCTTCCATGCAACATGCCATTACATTCGCTTACCCGGGAATCGTATCTCCGCGACATGATTGTAGTCTATCGAGTGGTATCCCAATAGAGTAGTATCGATTGTGTACGGTGGGCGGAGGGGGAGATATACGGCGGTAAGGCGTGGTTTAGTGGGCTGGTGTTGATGAGAGCTCCAGGCCCCAAGCTCATACGCGTCGGCGATTGATGTGCCAAGCCCCGACCAAAAGTTGACGTCGAACGCGACAACACCAGCACTTGGATTGCAGAGTCGCTGCAAAGGCTATTTACGCGCATAAACTGTCCTGCATCTGTGTTTTTATCGCCATGTCTGATATACCGACTCGACCACCACCACCGGCGCCCCCGCTACCACCAGGCTGGACAGAACACAAGGCACCCACTGGTAGCTATGAGCCGCTCGCTGCGTCACATGGGGAGCACGACTAACAGCTACAGGGCACACTTACTACTACAACAAGCAAACAAAAAAGTCGACATACACGCGGCCTACCCTGCCCATAATACCGGCACCACTACCAACACCACTCCATCACTCTCTGCCTCCCAAGCCTCCATCATACCATGCGCCGCCCCCACAACTTGCGGAGCCATCGCAGAATGCATTCGACCCGCAGCGGTCGCTACAGGAGTTGATTTTTGCAAGTGCACCCAAGGAGTTTGTAAAACCTGCAGGAAACCACACGGGAAGAGGAGGCCACCGAGGAGGCTTCCGCAGCGGTCGAGATAACTTCCATGATAGGCGCAGAACACAAGACGACCGACCAAAACACAGAAACGACATTCCAAATTGTGCACCATGGGTACTAGTCAGGACGAAGTTTGGGCGCCGGTTCGTGTGGAACAAGGACACCAATGAGAGCTTCTGGAAGTTTCCTCCGGATGTGTTGAAGGCTGTGATGGAGTACGATAGGAAGGAACGAGAAAAGAGGGAACGACGAGCACGTGGGGAGCCAAGCGAAGACGAGGCCGAGGATGAGGCCATGGCAGAGATTGAAGCTGAGCTTGCTGAGGCGGAAGAAGAGGTCGAGATTGTCGAAGTGGATGGCGAAGAAGGCATGGAGAACGACGAGGAATATGAGGAAGTAGAGGTTACCGACGACGAAGGCGAGGGATCAGGAACTGCGTCAAAACGACAACGCACCGCAGAGCCAGGCGACAACCAACCCCCAGATACCAACGAAGACGACGACCTAGCCTGGCAAATCGCGCAAATGGAAGAAATGGAAATGGGCGGCATGGACCAAGAGGAAGAATACTACGACGACGAAGAGCCACCTCTGACCGAAGAAGACTGCAAAGCTCTCTTCAAAGAGCTTCTCGACGACAAACAAATAAGCCCTTTTACACCGTGGGACAAGATCCTCGAAGATGGCGTCCTCTACGACGACGAGCGCTACAAGGCATTACCTAACATGATGGCTCGCAAGGAATGTTTCAATGAATGGGCGCGCGACAAGTCCATCTTCCTGAAGGAGCAGCGCGCAAAACAGGCAAAACTCGACCCACGAATACCCTATCTCGCGCTGCTAGACCGCCATGCAACGCCGAAGCTCTACTGGCCTGAGTTTCGCCGCAAATTTAAGAAGGAACCGGAGCTCAAAGATGGCAAGTTGCCAGACAAGGAGAAGGAAAAGTTGTATCGTGAGCACATCAAACGTCTTGGAATGCGGTCAGCAGATCTCAAATCCGATCTTTCGGCCCTATTGCGCGCACAGCCTCTTGCTCTGCTGAACCGCACCACCACGCTCGACACTCTGCCCTCTACTGTCCTGACAGATTTGAGGTTCATATCCCTGCCACCATCAACGCGCGAATCGCTCATCAAAACGTACATTTCCACGTTGCCAGCCCCACAAGAGGGCGTGGTGTACTCTGCAGAAGAAGAAGCCGAGCGTGCGAAGAAGTTTGCGGAACGCGAGAGGAGAGAGAAAGCACTTGCCGATCGCGAGCGCAGGGTCAGGGAGGAGAAGAGGAAGCAAGAGAGGGAATTGGCGTATGGAAAGGGGAGATTGAGGGAGGAGGAAGAGGAGATTGAGAGAGCGATGAGGGTTGGCAAGGAGGGACTGAAGGGCCATTTGATGGAGAAGCATAGATCTGCTGAGATGGATTGAGCCTATCTTTTGCGAGGAAGCATGGCGGAAGGGAAGGCATCAAAATCCCAATAGTCGGCCATTTGTGTATATGTATATAGGAACAGGTAGAGAAAAATGCTTGAAATTCGAGGTCGAGGAAGGATTCGAGCGGTGGGTTGAGTAGGTCTCTGACTGGAATACAAACAAGCATTCGAAGCTACTTTCTCGTGTAGATCTGGAGTCTCATGTACGGTATGTCTGCACTACCACTGTCAACTGTCTCTAGCTTCTAGCACGTGTAGACGTGTCACATGTACTTGGACATCAGACATGGCCAGTACCATCCCTGTCAACCGATGCACTTGCAGATGACACAGTGTTAGCATTGTATGGCAATCTGTCGACATGACTGCCTAGTTGTGCGAACAAAGAGCTTGCAAGGATCCTTTTGAGTCATCACGGTCCATTACAGAGCGCATGTGTCAGGAACTGTGCAGAGGACACCTGGAAACAAGTCTTGCAAGGCTTAGACATGGGTGAGGCTTGTGCTCACTAGCGCGGGGTCATGCCATGCCGATGCGATTCGAATGTTTGAAGTTCTGTACAATGAGTGTACTCCTACCTAGGGACCCATATTCAGCTTACCTAAAGTAGGTGATGGCCGATTGGGGAGAGGAGGGGGGTTGTTCGACTGGACGGTGTTGTCACTTGTCACTTGTCCCCTTGGTCGTTCTCGCTTCTTTTTGTAGTTGGGTACTTATCTAGTACTACTAGTAGGCGAACAATCAATGAGGACAGCTATGGCCTTTCAATCGGGGCATATCCCAGACAGTCACCAGTCATACCGCAGTTACTGTAGACACCGTATAGTACGCAGTAGCCAGATCAACGCAGTAGAAGGTTCGAGTAGGCCATCAAACCACACGTGTCCTGTAAGAAGACTGCGGCAAGAAATTGAGGCTGATTGTGCGTGCGTGTGGAGGGGGAAGGGACCACCGTGGCGCTAAATGGACAGTGCCCTAGTCCACTTTCGGCTGGGACTTCGAAGTGAACAGATGGCGATTTCGAAAGTTGCAGGACCAATCTCCATATAACAACGAGCACCCTCACCGCTCCTCCCTTCTTTCTCCTCACCTACCTCCCTGGGCTTCTCAACCCGCCTTGCTTTCTTTTCTCCTGTTTTGACGAGACCCGGAGCTTTTAACAAACTCCACGTCGTAAGCATTGTGCGAGCTCCAAGAGAGTTACGCCGACCTTTGTTCCCGCCATTCGAGGCCCACTCAGTCTTTTATAAGACTCCTCAACTCACATCCACAATGGCGCGAAGCTCGCGGAGCGCCAGCAAGCGGTCGACATGGTCGATTGCTTTCTACCTTCTCCTCGTCCTGGTCGGCGGCTTGATGCTGGCAAAGACAGCACACGCCGCCGACGACTCGGCCAAGGAGGACAGCAATGCTGTCTCTGGCCCTGTCATCGGTATTGATTTGGGAACGACCTACTCTTGTGTCGGTATCATGAAGAACGGCAAGGTGGAAATCATCACAAATGACCAGGGTAAGCTTGATAACAACTCTTGGACTACTCGACGCAAAACTGACACATGTCCCTACAGGTAATCGTATCACACCTTCATGGGTAGCCTTCACCGACGATGAACGTCTTGTTGGAGATGCCGCAAAGAACCAGTTCGCCAGCAACCCCCACCGCACCATCTTCGATATTGTAAGCACCTGTCTACCCTGATACAGCTTTCTCGGTCCTAACACACGCATAGAAACGTCTCATCGGACAGAAGTTCAAGGACAAGTCCGTTCAGTCTGATATCAAGCACTTCCCCTTCAAGGTCATCAACAAGAACGGCCAGCCCCATGTCAGCGTCGAAGTTCACGGCAAGGAGACCACATTCACACCCGAGGAGATCTCGGCCATGGTTCTTGGCAAGATGAAGGAGGTCGCCGAAAGCTACCTTGGAGAGCCTGTCAAGAACGCCGTCGTCACGGTTCCCGCTTACTTCAACGACGCTCAGCGCGCTGCCACCAAGGATGCCGGTACTATTGCCGGTCTCAACGTCCTCCGTGTCGTCAACGAGCCCACCGCTGCCGCTCTCGCCTATGGTCTTGACAAGACCGACGAGAAGGAACGCCAGGTTCTCGTCTACGATCTCGGTGGTGGTACTTTTGATGTCTCCATCCTCGCAATCGAAGAGGGTGTCTTTGAGGTCCAATCTACTGCCGGTGACACCCATCTCGGTGGCGAAGATTTCGACAATCGTGTGATCAACCACTTTGTCAAGAAGTTCAACAAGGAGAACGACGTGGACATCACCAAGGACGCCAAGACGATGGGTAAGCTCAAGCGCGAAGTTGAAAAGGCCAAGCGTACGCTCTCTTCGCAGAAGACGACCAAGATTGAAATCGAGTCTTTCTACAAGGGCAAGGACTTCTCCGAGACCCTGACCCGGGCCAAGTTTGAGGAGCTGAACAACGACCTCTTCAAGAAGACGCTCAAGCCTGTTGAGCAGGTTCTCAAGGATGCCAAGCTCAAGAAGAGCGACATTGATGACATTGTTCTCGTCGGTGGCTCCACCCGTATTCCCAAGGTTCAGGCCATGCTCGAGGAGTTCTTCGGAAAGAAGGCTCGCAAGGACGTCAACCCCGATGAGGCTGTCGCTTACGGCGCCGCTGTACAGGGTGGTGTTCTCGCTGGTGATGAGGCTACCAACAAGATTATTCTCATGGACGTCAACCCGCTCACTCTTGGTATCGAAACTACTGGTGGTGTCATGACCCACCTCATCAAGCGTGGAACCACCATTCCCACCAAGAAGTCCCAGATCTTCTCTACCGCCGCCGATAACCAGCCCGTAGTCCTGATTCAGGTATACGAAGGTGAACGAGCGCTTACAAAGGACAACAACAATCTTGGAAAGTTTGAGCTGACCAACATTCCGTAAGTTGCAATATTTGAAAATTAATGATGATTAGCAGCTAACAAGTCATAGCCCTGCACCTCGTGGTGTTCCTCAAATCGAGGTTACTTTTGAGCTCGATGCCAACGGTATTCTCAAGGTTTCCGCCGTCGACAAGGGTACTGGCAAGGGTGAGAGCATTACCATCACCAACGACAAGGGCCGCCTCAGCACCGAAGACATTGAGCGCATGGTTGAAGAGGCCGAGAAGTACGCCGAGGAGGACAAGGCCAACCGTGAGCGCATTGAGTCGCGCAACAAGCTCGAGAACTACGCCTACAGTCTTAAGAACCAGCTCAACGACGACGATGGTCTCGGTGGCAAGATCGAAGAAGACGACAAGGAGTCTCTTCTCGAGGCTGTCAAGGAGACCCAGGACTGGCTCGAGGCCAACGCTGCCGAGGCTGCCGCCGAGGACTTTGACGAGCAGTTCCAGAAGCTGTCTGATGTCGCTTACCCCATTACCTCGAAGCTCTACGGCTCTGCCGGTGGTGCTGGAGAGGATGATGCTGAGCCAGACCACGACGAGTTGTAAATGCATCAATCAAGTGCGATGTAGGAGTCGCAAGCTGAGTTTGATACCGTTTAATGCATCTTGGCCGGTTATTTTGAAAAGACTACCGCTGTTTTTGCGGACCGTGTATGAGTAAAAGTGCAGATGGGAAATGGCTCTAATAGAGTATCCTCGGCGATGTATGCGGAGTTTGGTTTGATACGTTAAGGAACAACGATATCATGAATTGAATTGCATTAAAGATGATTGTATTTGCTGTGTGACGTGATGTTGGTGTTGTTTCTACCCGTGGTTTGTGTATGCATGGCTAGCATGTAGAGTGGATTCATCTTATATATCCAACGCTCTGCCTACATTTTTACTTGGGCGTGCCGCGTAGTAAACTACGTTGCATCTTTGTGCTGTGTACAAGTCTAAGTCTGATTGTTGTTGGCGTTTACTATTACCTCTATTACTATATCTAGTACTACCTTGGTACCCAACTGGATATCGCGATGTATTGATACCTATCTTAATATCGCGATAATTTGGTACCTGTCTCCATGCGTAGCTTGATACCCACCTTGATATCGCGGTATATTGATACTTACTTTGTTACCTACCACGATATCGCGATATATCGATATCTACCTTACTACCCATCTTGATACCCGCCACGATATCGCGATATATCGATACCCACCTTCGTGCCTATCTTGATACCCACCTTCGTGCCTATCTTGACACCCACCTCAACATCGCGATATACCTACACTACGGTACAAAACCGGTTTACAGTAGCCATATTTATCTAAAGTAGACCACAAAGTAGTTTAAGTACAAGAAGTAAACCTAAATAGGGTTTACTATACTATATATTCTACAAAGGTAAACCACTTTTTAGTTTATATATTATTAGTATTATATAGATTAACCTTAGTGTCTATTTAAATATAGTTTATATAATATACCTAATTATAGGTTATATAGTAGATAGATATATAGCACCTAGGGGGAAAATTTAGTGTAGATAGAGGGTATATAGTAGGCATAATTTAGTAGGGTTACTATACAGGAACTAGTACTAGTAGATACCTAGGTAGTATAGGCGTGCAGCATACTGCCACCTAGGTATACTACAATAATAACTAAGAGACTAGGTAGTATACCTAGTATATAAAATTATAATCTAAAATATCCTATAATAATAGGTTAGTAAGTTCTATAAAGGCGCCTATTATAATAACACTCCTATATTATAGTATAGTAGTATTACTAAAGATTATACTCTATATTATAAATATTCTAGGGCAAGTTAGTTACTTATACTATATATATTATAGGTTTTTTTAGTAGTATATTAGTTTAAAGTTAGGTATATATATATATTATTATATATACTATATTATATACAGTAGTAAAGGGGTAGTATAATATAGTGTTGCAGGAGGGATATTAACCGGATCACGGAGCATCTTGATCTAATCAATCCCGATCAATACCCCTGTATGACCCACTATCTGATAGACTGCCAGCTTACTGCCAAGTGCCTAACAAAAAGCAGGAGCTCTAGTAAGGAAGGTTTACTAATTATTTACCTTCTAGTAAGGGTAGCTAAAGCTCTATATATATAAGTCTGATTGTAGTAGATACAATCTAATAATCTATCTCCTAAATTATTCCTAACCTTAGTAATCTAAATATCTACAGTTATAAGCCTAGTTAGCACAGTGGTATTATTACCACATTTTAATGCGTATTAGTAGAGCGTGGTTAAAATTATAGAGGACGTGGGTTTAAATCGCGGTGTTAGAATACTATAATTTAAGAGGTCCTAATTAGTGAGCCTCTAGAGGCGCCTGGCTATACTGCTTAACAGGGTTAACATTTCTCCCGGATTAACGCCATAATACTACTTGACAACAACCACGACAAAAAAGATTGCGCTTCTTCAGCCAAGCATGTGTAGCTCTGCTTGACTAGGGGGTGTGTTGCAATACAATATCTTATCAATATCCCACCATATATATCAACTTATCGGGGTGGGGTAACAGTGTTCACTTTTGCCCTATTCTCGGTTTGCGACATATAGTAAGCTTATATAGTGTAGGATATATAGTAATGTTATATTATATTATTTATATATACTAATATAGTATATATATATTATTTAACTTATATAGTTAGGACCCTCTTATATTATAATTATCTATAAACCTAGACGCTATTATTACTATTACTATTATTTAGCTCTCCTATACTACTACTATCTATATAAGGGGTATCTATAATAGATACTCTAGTTTATATTAGAGACTGCTATAATTTTAGGCCTTGTACTCTAGAAGTATTTCTCTTATTACTATTACCTTTAGCCTTAGCTTTAGTTATATAGTTAAGCCTAGCCTTTATATTCCTAACGCGTGTATCCTTATAAGTCTATATTAGTAGAGTAGAATCTAAAGTCTCTATTAGAGAGTCTATAATAGTATAAGGTTAGCGTTATTACGTGTCTAGTAGTGTATTATAGTTATCTTCTATAGGCGTGTTTTTATAAGTATCTAGAGTAGAATTATTTAGTTAGGCTAGTATACTATATAAATAGGTTTACTTTTGTAGTCTTATATCTAGCTATACTAGTACTTATTATAATCTAATACTACTAGCTAGGGGTATACTAACTATTAAGTTAGGATACTAACCCCTAAAAACGCTACTATTGCTATCCTAGGCACCCTAGTCTTTAAAGCTAGTAATACTACTAGTGTATTTAGATTAGGGTAGACGTTGTCTTTATATATATTTAATAGAATAGGGTAATACTAGCTTACTTATAGCTTATAATAAGTCTTAGTTTAAATATTAGGGAGTGTTACTATAGAATCCTAACTAGGCTACTATATAGTTATAGTATATACCTAAACTACTATAAATAAAGTTAGATATTAGCTACTAGTATCTATATAGACCTCTATATATAATAGACCTCCCTAGGCTAGGGCCTTATAGGATAGCGAACGTTTAAGTAATTAGGGTAGTAATACTATTACCTAGTATAGTATAATTATATATAATAGCTCCTTTATAATAGTAAGATTAGTATATTTAAGGAGGTTAATAATATACTTATATTTTAGTTTAGAGTATTAGTTCTTATTCCTATATATCTAGGTCTACTATATAAGCTATTTTAATACCTATACTCTATTAAAATATCTAAAATATAGATACTTAGTAAGGATAGTGTCCTATATATTAGTCTACTTAGAGTTAGAAATATAGCTAAATAGTTAGTCTTAGATTATATTAAAGTATATATCTATAGCCTTATAGATATACTTATTAAGGTTATTAATACCCTTCTTACTAACTATAAACGTATAAATCTATAGGGTAAACACTTTAGGCGTATATATTACTACCTATACTATAATTAGATTATTGCTTACTAATTTTAGCTATAGGTAGACACTATGCAGTTCTAGTATTTTATATAAATAGGATCTTAAATCCTAAATTAACTATAGGATAGTGTTAGGAACAAAGGTAGTATTTATAGTAGATAAGGTTATAAGTAAAGCTAATATATTATAAATATATTATTATAGATAGAAAGGGTATATTATTATATATAACTTGTGCACTTGTTATATTATAACGTGTACTAGTGTTATTGCTATTGCTTATAATATATTATCTTTAGCTGCATCTTTATACTAATATACTTCTATAATATAGTTATTAAATAATAAGTTGTTATACTATAGTTATGCTATATTAGTATAATAGAAGTGTAGAGAGGGTATGCTAATATATTGTATTACGTACGTGTGTAAGGGGTTAAGAATTAATTTAGAGTATACTAGATTATTATTATATAGATTTATATATATTACTATAATTATATTATTATTATTTATTATAACTAACACTAATAAGTTATATTAGCTTATATAGATTTATACTATATCCTTTTATTTACCTACTCCTCTATATACTAAAGTATAATAGTTACATTAATAGAGTAAGATATAAATATCTAGGAATACACTCTTACTAACCTATATTAGCTATATATAGTTTACGTTTACTAAAATATAGTTATTATATAACCTAGATTAGTATATAAGTTATACTAGACTAGGAATTAATATAGATTAATATAGCAACTATAACACTATTTAAGAGGATAATATTACAAGTTACTAAATTTAGGGGTAATAACCTATCTACTATGCTATAGTATTCTAAAAGCAGGGTAATCTATCCTTTAGATACCCTATTAACTATACGTTATATATTAATATATTTTACTAGGCTAGGCATAGAACTAATATATATTAGCTTAGGATAAAAAATAGGGCTATTATGTACGTTAGTTAACTACTATAAGATATAGTAGTCCCTACTATAGAAAGCCTAGTTATAGAAGAAGAGGCTCTTTATCTTTAATAGTACACTATTAAAGTTAAGATTATCTATGGAAATCTAGATTACTAAGGTTAGGAATAATTTAGGAGATAGATTATTAGATTATATCTACTATGATTAGACTTATATATATAGAGCTTTAGCTACCCTTACTAAAAGGTAAATAATTAGTAAACCTTCCTTACTAGAGCTCCTGCTTTTTATTAGGCACTTAGTAGTAAGCTAGCAGTTAATTAGATAGTAGGTTATACAGGGGTATTAATTAGGGTTAATTAGATTAAGATGCTCTATAATCTAGTTAATATCCCTTCTATAACACACCCCCTAGGTATAGGTAGATCTTTTATTATTATAGTTATACTTATAGTTAGTAGGTAGTATAGCTAATTAGAGTGTTATATATCTAAAGGGTTAAATTAGCTTACCTTTTAGATACTAACTAGCGCACCTTCCTTATTTAGCCTACGCTTACGCACTTAGATATTATCTAGACTAAGCTCTATAACTCTATCTACCTAACTATAATCTTTACTATAGCTTAAATTATAAGATTATATAACCCTAAAGATCTAAACTATACTTATATCCCTACTAACCTATATCTTAGTTAA